CCCATGTGAATATATAAGTTTTTTCAGGCTCACTTATCAGTTCAGATGGCTGTTGTAGCAAACTGCAACTGCTTTAGGCAGCTCATCTGTTAGGGGAACTGCTGATTTGATGACATCTGCATTTACTTTAGGGCTTCTGTATATTTTAAAAACACTGCTCCCAGTCTATTCAGAGCCCTTCCTTAATAAAAGGAATGGAAGTGGTAGAATCCTAGAATATTCTGGTTTGGAAGGGAACTTAAAGATCCTCTAGTTCCAACCTCTGCCTTGGGCAGGAACACCTGCCTGTAGACCAGGCTGCCCAGAGCTCCGTCCAGCCTGGCCTGGAATGCCTCCAGGCACAGGACATCTACAGCTTCCGTGGGCAACCCGTGCCAGGGCCTCCCCACCCTCATTGTGAAAAACTTCAGCTTTCTATCCAGTCTAATTGGAACCTCTTTTTGTTTAAAACTGCTGCTCTTTGTCCTATTGCACAGGCCCTGCTATAAAAGGTGTTCCCATGTAGCCCCTTTAGGTACTGAGAGGGGCCCTTATGTGTCCCCAGAGCCTTCTCCAAGCTGAAGCACCCCAGGTGTCTCAGCTTGTCTTCAGAGCAGAGCTGTTCCAGGCCTCTGGTCACCTTCATGACCCTCTGGACAAGTTTGAAAATCTCCTTCATGTGGGGAGAACTTGTGGTTTAACTCCAGTCAGCAACAGCAGTAGCTGCTTGCTCACTCACTCAGTGCTCTCCTCCCCCTCCACCCTCCCACTGGGGATGGGAATCAGAGGAAACAAGAGAGTAAAAATCATGGGTTGATACAAAAATACTTTAATAATTGAAAGATAATAGAATACAATCATAATAGTTGTGATGAGAAGGAGCAAGAGAGATTAAGTCCAATAGGAGCAAGAGCTGCCCAATACAATTGCTCAATACACTGACCAGTGTCCAGCCCATCCCTGGGCAGTGTTTGGCATCTCTCATCCAGTTTATATCCTGAGTGTGATGTGCCATGGGGTGGAATATCCCTTTGGCCAGCCCAGGGCAGCCATCCTGGCCATGCTCCCTCCTGGTTTCTGGTGCACCTGCCCCCTCCCAGAGCAGGGGAACCCAAAAGTCCTTGATTGAGAGCAAGAACTGCTTAGCAATTACTAAACATCAGAGTGTTATCAGCATTAGTCTCATCCTAATTCCTCAGCACAGCACAGCTAGAAAGAAGAAAATTTAGCTCTATCCCAGCTAATATCAGGCCAGACCTCCAGAGCTGGTTGCAGTACACCAGGTGGGGTCTCAAGAGAGTGGAATAGGGGGGCAGAATCACCTCCCTTGGCCTGCTGGCCATGTTCCCTCTGATGCAGCCCAGGATGTGATTGGCTTTCCAAGTCTAAGAAAGATGTGTGTCAGATTTGTGCTTCAAGTGTGCAAATATTTGGTAAAGCAATACCTAATTAATTCACCTTTCAAGGGTTAGTGAGAAGCTCTAATTTAAGCATTCTGACTGAACTTTTTGATTTGAGAGGAATGTGTTTTGATCTCTTACCTGGTCTGCTCAATTAGGTGATGTTTCTGTGTTGTACACTGGAGTGTGACTGGTAAGAGTATGAACTTGTTTTTAACTTGGTGAATTAGAATACCTGAGAGGCTTTCCAACAGTCTCAGCAGGGGCCAATTTCACCCAAAGCCCACTGAGCTTTTTCTGGCCCCTCAGTTGCTCCATCCTGTTCCATGCACCTGAACTGGGGGTGGTGACTGTGATGTGCTGTGGTTCCACGGTTGTCAGGGCCAGTCTGTGCTTGCTGCACCCTGGGGAGCTGCTCATGATCTGCTCAAGCATGGCTGGAGGAGACGGCAGAAGAAGTAAGTAATGGCAAGAAAAAGAATTTTCTCTTTACCTTGTTTTCCTTCTCCCTTGTTTTCCCAATTTGTCATGAATGGTATTAAATTTTAATAAGTCTCTTGGAAAACATGATTCCTGTCCTCTTCAGAAGTAATTTCACATTACCAAAGTAGTTTCTCTATGGGACAGAACATGTTTGTATATTCCTCTATAGCACAGGCACTTCCAAGGGCAGGGAACTTTCCTCACTGAGCAGGAGTGCAGAAAGAGCTGACCCTTCAAAGGGCAATATCCACATGAAATGCAGTCAGTCTCTTCCCTGTGCAGCACTTCAGAAAATGGGGTTCTCCCCTCCCCAGTACTAACAAACTGTCTCTAGGTTTAAGCTGTCTTTAGAACTAAGTGGTAATAATTGAAATAAAACCCCTTTTTAGGGTAAAACAGGAGGGGCAGGCAAAGTGAAATACAGCATCTGTCAAAGCAGTCATCAGGGATTGCTTGCAGGTACAAAACCCAGCTTAAACCTGCTGGTAAATTACTATGAATCACATGGGGATTTCTAAAAGTATTTTTGTCCCTAATACATTTTGAACCACCTTTCGAAAATGCTATCCAAAACTCTGCATATGCTCCAATTGTGAAAAGAGTGAAGAATTCAATGAGCTAAACTAGAATTCAGTTTTAAGCTTTCAAAAATTATTCATTCTTCATTCTTGATTCTGTTCATTGAACTCACATTAAAATTTTTAGCTAAATATTATCTTTTTAAGTGCCAGGTGTCCAGCTCTGGGATACTTCAGAAAGATAATTTTTTGGCTAGTCTCTGTTAACAAGATGACTTCCTTTCAACTTCCTACAAAGGAGTAATTTCTTCAAAATTAATCATTGTTAATATATACACATATATTTTCAATGGGTTTGGGCCTCTTTCTTGCAAAAAAGGCAGTCCTGCTCTGTGCAGTAATCAACTGTCAGGTTTGTTCTAATCCATAAATATGGATATTAATAATTTGTTTTATGCAGGGTTATACCCATTACTGCTCTTGGTTTCATTGCAGTGATGCTGCCCTTGAGCACCCGTTGGGTGTGGGTCTTCCTGGTCCTGCTCCTGCTTTGTAGCATCCACTCACGTGAGTATTGCAAAGACAAAAACATTCTCAAAGAAGCAGCAAGCACTTTTACTAGCAAGCAGTCTTGGGAATGCTTGGAAAATACTGAGAAATATTACAAGCAATTGCTTCAGATTGGATTGATCCATTCTGAGACTTAAATAGAGCAAAATATATTTTTTCCTGCAACTATAATTCCTATTTCCCTCTGTGCATCTGTACAAGAAATACATCCTGCTGGTTTCATCTCTGTCAGTACAACTTGCTTTTATTTCACTGTTTATCATAGTTTTTTCTTTTTTTTTCCCTTATTATAGATTATTCTATTTTTTCTTTCTTCTTGCTGAAGAATTATCCAAAAGACTGAAGTTGCTCAATACCTGAGTTTCTGGTTAGGCTGTGATCTCACTTCTGTCACAAGGACTCTAACCATGAAATGGCTTTCATCAATCTCCATCACTGAAAGCTATTAAAGTGGTGATGGTGTAAGTTTCTCTCATGGAGAGGAAAAAGGAAAACAGGTGGGAATACTGGGTCTCTTTTTTCCCCCTCATTGGGGAGTGGTTGATTGCCAGTGGAGTCCTACTGTGATTTGCACTTTTGGTGTAATGAAAAAGAGATGTAGGGAGGCAGCAAGGTTTACTGATCCCATTTTTTTTTTTAGAATGGTGAAAATGAAAGGTGATTGGGAAGTCCCAGAGTAAGAAATCAGCAGCATTTGTGTAAACAGTACCTCTATATTTAGAGATGTTTTGCTCTTTACTATGCAACTGCAGCAGGTCACCATCTGAAATAAGAAGCTGGGATAGATGTATGTTTGGTTGTGTCTGATAAAGGTGCCTTTCACCATGTTTCTGTGTTTTAACTGGGGTCTGATCTTTAAAAAGCTAGAAGTTCTGCTTGTGTGCAGAGGAGAAATATAACTATACACGCAGCAAGCATTTTCATCTAACCTGCACCTCATAGGTGAGCAGCAGGGCTTTTTATCCTTGACAATTTCCACCTGAATGCATTCTTTAATTTAAATTTTACAGCTTTAGTTCTTTACTCATTGTGGTTCATGAAGCAATTTAAAGCAATATAAGTGAATACAACAGAAAGACATCTGTGCTTAACCTTGCTAGCCATCAGTAGACACAGTTTCCTGATGACTGTAAATGCCTTCCTAATGAGTGATAATCAGTATGAAAATGTCATTGCTTTAATTAATTACGGATAGTTTTGATGGTAATGAGCTAATCATTGTGAACTTTCAGTTCTCGCAGCACCGATTCAGCCTGATTCAGAGCAAAGTGCAGAGGAACCCAGCAAACCCAACATGACAGTGAAAGGTGTATTTGAATCTTTCTTAAGCTTCTTCAGTCCAATGAGTAAGTGTCACTTCACCCTGCAGCATTGTTTCTCTCTTCCTTCCCACTTCTGCCTCACTTCCAGTCCACCCTCCCTCCCCTCACTGTCAGCAGTTCATGTGTTTAAAACCCTCAGTCTAATACTGCAAAACTCACTAGAGCTCTTGAAAATAGGATTGTTAAGTGCCTCTTTGGGACAATCACAGATTTGTTTGCATTGGTACCCTCCTGTAAAACCTCCATCACCAGTGATGTGACTGTGCTGGAAATGCTGAAATTATTTGGAAGTTTGGCACAGGATCCACCATGCCTAGCTTTGTTGTATCTCATCCGGACTAGTTTTCCAGTCTTCCCATGTACACATAGAAAGAAAAGAGAATTTGTCACAGCCTGAATGAAAGAAGGGTTTTGTCCCACACTGGTGTCTCTCCCACTTCTGGTGGCTAAGGGAGGCTTCAGGCCTGTTAGATTACACTGATCCACTCACCTTTGGACTGCTGAAGTAAAATTACACGAACTACATTATTTCATAAAATTATGGAGACAGAAATTGTAGGGGGATAGAATACAAGAAAATAAAGATAGTGTAGAAAGTAATCTTACCCCTAAGGAGTTGCAGCTGGGCCAATTATCAAGGATTAGGAACAGGCCTGACTTTAACAGGCCACAGCTGTACCCAATGAGAAGAAGAGTGCTATAAAAGAGTGAGGTGGCTGGGTGAGAAGGGAACTGCAGTCAGTGACTGCTTTGTGAAGAAGAAAGAGTCAGTGCTCTGAGGAACTGCTCATGAGAAACACCAAGAAGGTATGGGACTTTTGCAATAGGAGGTAACAGCATGGAACCCCTGCAATAGGATGACAGCTGGAAATCATGATGCTAACTTGCTGATATCAAAAAGCAAAATAATAGGAGCACAAAATATATTTGTTCTGTATAAGAACTGCCAGCCTGGTTCCATAACCACACTATAGACTAATGAGAAGGAGAAATGCACCTTTCATTTGGTGTGTTTTTGCAGTAATATCAGTGTGTCTCCACCACTACTGCTCACATGTAGGCCTAAGTAAACATGGAGGACTGATGAAGATCCTGATCCCCCCCCCACCCTTTAATAAATTGAATTTGGCTACCAGTAATGTCTCTGATAAATGTGAGACTGACAATGCAGCCAGTCCTGGGGGAGTTGTTGGAACCAGATAATGCTTTGCAGCTGCTGTGTAACATAAGGGATGAGATATGATGTTTTATAGGGATTAAATATACAGAGGCGTCTACTATTTATAACTATCTTACACATTCAAACCATTCCCACAGAGTATCTCATGATTATCAATAAATCTGCTATTAAATAGGAAATCTCAAAAACTGCTTAAATGTGTTGTTCATTAACTGTATTGGATGTTGTGGGGAGTTTTTCCTAGCAGCTGATTTTCAGCTGCTTGTAGAAACAAATAATAAGTGCCAAACAGAGATGGTTAGTTGTAATATAGTCCTACCAAAAAAAGAAAAAAGAAAAGAAGCCTTAAATTTCTGCTGGTTTTTAATTAGAAACATAACAGTCAGATGATTTAGTTTGTGTTTTTCACTTACTTTACAAACCTAAGTACCAAATGTGTTGCAATGTTTAGGTTCGGCTTTGTAATAGATCTTTACAGAAACAAAGCAAATTACAGAAGATTTTCTATGACATGATTTAGCTCTTCTGCTAATTTCAATATAAAAATTGGTTAGGTTTTGGGAAAGTACATGAATGTCAGTGATATTGTTTTGTGGCAGATTTAATTAATCAAAACATGCTGGATACACAAAAGTGATGACTTCCTTCTGTTTCACATTGCTCCCAGGACAGACATCTTACCCAACATTGGTTTTTTTTTTCCCTTTTTAAAGCTTGCCGCCTCAGCAATGAGCGACTCTTAACTCCTTGTCCTGTAGAAGGCCTGAACCTGACTGAATGCACAAAAATTCACTGCTGTCCTTTCAGAATTGGCCAGGAGGAACAGTGCTACATGCCAGTGAGAGATGGTGAGTGTGCTGCCGCAGAGCAATCCCTGCCCCTGGTCACACAGCATAGTTCTCATTGCTGTTGTACCTTTGGCTTTCCAGGACACCCCTCTCTTTAAAGTAACTGTAAACTTGCATGTATTTCTTAATCTATACTAATAAAGGAAACAATTAATTGAAAATATTCTGGATATTGTCAAGCCCAATACAAACAAAGAACAAGTGCCATACAAATAAATACAGTCACATATGTCATTACAAAGAATGAAGTAAAGGCTTTGTTTGCTGAGAGTGGGGGTTAACTCAAAGTAGTGACTCCATGAAAGTGCAGTGAATGACAAGTGAAGGAACTGGATTTGTGTTTTACATGGTGAAGAGGAGGCTAATTGGCTGTTTAATAGCTACTGAAGCCTGTTTGGGAGGGGAGTTACTAAAATAAGAGTCAGAAATTCTTCCTGGAAGAATCAGATGATTTAACAAGTAGGAATTTCCACTAACTGATGCTTAAGAAATTCAGCTCAGACATTAGGGAGGGAAAAGTTCATCAGAAAAGGGATGGAGTCCCCAGCCTTGGAGGTTTTCAAGAATTGGATATAAAAGACACAATTCACTTGATCTCATATTGGTGGTAGCCTTTCTTCAAGAGGAAGATTGATCTACATGATCTGCAGAAGTCTCTTATAACCAAAATGTCAGTGGTTCTGTGTTATCAAATTTCAGCCTTAACATTGCGTTTTACTTTTTTCCTTTGAGCATCACCTTAGTGGGCATGATTTTTTTTCTCATATAAATGCAAAAAACACTTTTTGTAGTTTTTTGTAGCTCCTATCTTTCCTTATCACTCTATGGTTATCTTTGCTCTACTGAAAGGATTGTATAAAATCTTAATTTTAATTATAAATTTTTCCTGTTTGTCTAGCTTTCTAGAAGCAGTTGTTGCTTTTCATGGAGGTTGCTTCAATAAACTGAAAAAAGCAAACAATTTAGAGATGTTTTATTATAGACATAATTACTGAGTGTGGAAGGGACCTCTCACAGCCATGTAGTTAATCCTCCCTGTTCTACCAGCATTAGTTACAATGGGTTTCCCAGGGGCTGTGTCCAGTCAAATTCTTAATTTGTCCAAGGACAAACAACCAACAATGTAGGAAGAGTTTTCAGACACAAGCAATCTTGCTAAACATGGATAATAAGTTAGTAAAAAGAAACCATAATCTAGAACTTAATGGTTTAGTTCTTCCTGGTATAATTCAGTATACCTCCACTGATTTCAGAGGTGATATCCCAATTTTTAGGATGAGCTGACCTTACACAGATATGAAACACCAAGGTTACTTGTCAGCTGACAGGAATTCACTTTCTCTTGTTTGTGCTTCTTCAGGAGCAGACTGAGGTCAAAATAAGACTTTGAATTTTTTCTTGTGCTTGAGCAGCTCCACATTCCAGTGCTGGGACAGCTGTAGTTACTACCAGCTAGATAACTTTTGATTGAAGGAAGTTTTATTCTGTGCTATCAGAATCTGTTTGTTAGTTAGGGGCAAATGACAGAAATTAAAGGTTTTAATAATATTCAGTCCTAGTTTGGCCTGTTATATTTTGTATAAAAAACACTTCACTACAGCAAGAGGAGAAGCTGTACAATGAAAATTATAGCTCCTCTGCTCATTTTCAGATACATGCTGAAGCAAATTTTAAATTTAAATATGCTTATTCAGCTGTGACTGCTTGATTCCTTATTCCAGTTAGCTTTTATTGTTTGGACATCAATATCAAGGGCTGACTATTTTACAGAATTATTTGTTCATAGATTAATGAGCTCCTTGAATGCTCCTGGATGTACAGCATATGTCCAAAGAAAATGCAAACACTTACTGTTTGCCTTGTAGCAATCTGTTGACAAAATAGAAGCACTTAGCAGATATTAGACTCATGGCAGTTGTGTTTCTCAGCTGGTCACAGGCTGCATACTGAATGGTTCTTCTTGTTGGGAGGTTTGCCTTGAATTTCACTGGGAGTTAATTGAGGCCTTAAGAAAATGCTACAAAAGTTATTAATTGAATTAGATTAATAGAATTCATTTGAAAGATTGTCTCCATTCTCAAAGCAGCTTCTAGGGGACTTTGGTTTTCTTAACTACTATTTATTCCCCCACTCAACTGTGCCCCATGCCCTAGGCTCACCCAAACCCTCTGAAACTAAACAAACACTTGTGCTTTTCCAACTGAAGTGAAATTTGAGACCAATTCTTTCTCATCTGAGCTCATTCCTAACATTTACTGTTTTGCCCTTGTGCTGCTGAATCATAGAATCATTTAGGTTAGAAAAGATCCTTGTGGTGATCAGTGAGTCCATCTCTAAATTCATCTGAGGGGTGGCAGTTTTCCTTGGCATTTACTGAAGTCTTTAGGTGTGAGTGTGTCTGAGTGCAGTCAGAGCTTTGCTGATGAAACACCTGTCTGAGCTGTGACTTCATGGCACCAAAGGTGTCTGTCTGAGAGGTGATTCTGCCACCTGAGCCTCAGTGTCTGTATCAGAGTTGTTCAGAACTAATGCAAACTTCTGCTGGCTCCACAGATGTGCAGCTGGCCATTCGAGTGGTTTTGATTACCGGAGGAGGATTTTTGTTTTTGGGATTTCTACCATTCTGTTGCTGTGCCCTTTTGCAGAGAAGGTAGGTGTTTGCACGTGATCAGACCTAATTTACGATGTACTGGTTCTAAATGGTGAAAATATGGAGAACTGACATCTTTTAACTAGGTGAGGGGAAACAAGATTGGGGGGAAAAAAGGGCAAGAAACTAATGTTCAAATATAAAAGATGAGTCCTTCTATTTTGAAGCTACATAAAACAGAGAGTCAATTTGGCTTAAAGAAAAAAAGGTTATTTAATGCCCCAGTACTCTTTCTAAGACCTGGAAATAAAAGACTTGGACTTAATCTTACTTGGGAAGTTGCATTTAAAACACAAAAGCAGATTCCCTCCAGGACAGACCTGGAGTTATGCAGTAAGACAAGGAAGGGGAGAACAAAGTATGAGGTCTGAGTAGAGTAAGAGAGAGGGGCTCTGAGTTGGGAATGAATTATCTCCAATGTTTCTAATATGCAGAGTGGGGTTTTTTATTTATAGGGCACTTCACAGCCTGCAAGTTCTATGCAAGCAGTTTAGTGTCTGATAGTGTGAAGTGTTTCAGCAATGTGTATGTGTTCTCAGGATGCAGGGAAAATGTAAACTCCATAACATCAAGGTCATTAAACTGATGGAATGAATTAACATAGTTAAGCTTTATTCTGCTTAGGTAGTAGTTCATATTGAATGGCTGGTGCTACAACTTGGTTAATATGACAGAATTGTCTTTTTAGTGAAGATTTTTTCTTCCAAGTGTTAAACTTTTACTCTTCTAAGACATAGTAGTCTGTGTGGGATCATATACATGCACGCATACACACACACATAGACTTTACTAATGAGGCTGCCTGGCAGATGGCTGTTTGCTGTGGAGTTCCACATTTTGACAAAACCTGCTGTGAAAATCTCCACATTACATCTTACACTGTGCTCAACAGCTGATGCTCAGCATACAGATAGCTGCACTGAGTCATCAGTGACTCTGAAAGCAGGAGGCAAAGAATCGACATGAAATTATCATAAATTTTCTGGAAAATGAATTAATATGTGTTCATTTTGGGAGAATTCACATTAATGTTTAAATGATCATTTCTGTGGTTTTTCATAGCCAGTGAAGCTAGGAATTTTGCTCTTCTGCTGACTTGATTTTTTGCTTTGTTTTTTAATGCAGTAACTAACCAGATGCTAAATGGTTTAAATTTCCAATGTCATATATTTAAGTTCGAGGAAGGGTGCGATCCTACCACACTGTAATTTTGAGTTTTACCAGTTTTAGAGACAGTTGATAGAGCTTTGAGAAACATTTTTTAATAAGCCAAAAACCTCTCTGGGTAGAAATTCTTTTGTTTTCAACATTATACAGTCATTGTTGAAAGAGTCCTGTGTACAATGCCAAATCTGTGTACAAATGCAACTGGTGTGCACAAAAGTAAAAACTGTTCTCTAGAGTTATGGAAAAAATAAGAGGACTTTCACTGATGAAATTTGGGATAATTGTTTAACTCCACTGTGCCTCTTCTAGAGTAAATTGCAAAGTTTCTATACCATGGCCAGACAAAGAAAATATAGGAACATGAAATTCCTGTAATATTGATAGAGGGAGCTGAGTACTCCTCTCCTTGCCACACTTGATCAATTCTAGTTGATCTAATTTCCCAAGCTAGTGAGGCTTTGTTACTTTCCACATCCCCATGGACAAACTGTGTGTTTGCCTCCTTCCCATGGTGTTTCTCATGCAGGAAGCAGAATCTACACATCTGTTCCCTGCCAATTGGCAATTTCCCTTGTGTGCTATCAGCACACTATTTCCTGTCTAGAGCTGTGCTCTGATGGCTTTGCTATGCCCATAACTGTGCCAGCCTATCCTACTCCTCTCACTTTTGTTAGTCTTCTTTAAGAATCACATGCAAGGACAGATAGGTTAAAACACTAAAGGTTAGAAAAATGCAGGTGCAGTTAAATAGCCCTACTTTTAAATAATACAGAGTAGATTTTAAAAATTGAATGGAAAAGTTTCTTCATTCCTGCCCAATCCCTAGTACAGCTGTGTTAAGAAGCCAACAGAATTTTGTTAATTTGTTACTGGGGAAATTTCTGGTCAGGGTTGCACTGTCTCCCCATCCTTGCCTGCTGGGGATGTGACAAGCAGCCCTGTGCAGGAATTCCTCTCTCAGGAAGAGCTGGGCAGCAAGGGGTGTCCCAGGCCTGGGTGTGCCTTGTGTGGACTGGGCAGCGCTGGGTTAATAGCTGGGATTGATGACCTTAAAGGTATTTTCTGTCCTGAGTGATTATGTGTGAATCAAAAGGTGAAATTCATGAAGAAAATGTAAGAAATGGGAAAAGCATTGAAATGCTTCTCCTCACCTTAATCTTTCTTCTGGTGATGCATCTTATCATGGCCTCTGAAACCAAATATAGCCTTTTGAGGTTTTTTCACTGGAGCTAGGATTTCATGGCTGAAGTTAGGTGACCTTCTCTAAATTCCTACTTTGGAAATCAACCAGTTTCAGCTGTTTTAATATGTTGCAGTCCTTGTGTCAATCCTTTACAAAAGATCAGCAAAAAAGTACAGAAAATTGCACGGGAAAAAAGAGCTGCTGAAAAAAAGAGCCGTGATGAAGAGATCCATCGCCACTTACTGGACTGACCTAAAGAACCAAAAGAACCAAAAAGGAAGGTAAACTAACTTTGGGGTATTTTCTTGTTCTAAGTTTAGGGTTGTTCTGTTGAGTCTGTGTGGAATACTAAAGATATGCACTACCAAATACCTGCTGCCTGCCAGTGCAGCAGAATTGTCCAAAGGCATTGTCAGGGATCACCTCCAGTTCCTGTGGTGGGACAGGTAATGAGTTTGCAAGAATTTGGTTGGTGTCCTGAGCTGCCAGCTGACAGCAGTGCCATGGACAGGCTGAGGGTAAAGCCCTCTGCCACTTGAGTGTTCCTTATCTCATGTGGAAAGTTTAGCATGAGAAAGTGGAAACACAGTGGGTCTGCTGCTTTCAGGAGAGGCAGATCCATGTACAGACACTGAAGAGCCTTTCTTTCTCTATAGATAAGGGGTGGTTTGCAGCTGGGGCATTCCCATAGCTCCACACCTTGGCATTCCTGCCATTCTTCCTCAATGCTGAAAAGCAATTGACTACTGAAATAAATGTAATCTGAGAGTGAAATGCTATTTACTTCATGTGACCATGCCAAGCTATAGCCTGCTAAAGGTCACCTGAACTAACAAAGTGTTAGGGAGGTCATTAGACAATAAAGAAATATTTCAAGGAGAGTATTGATTTGGCAGAAATGTAAAGGTGTCCCTAACTCAAGTCACACTCATGTTTGGGATTTTTTTTTCTCCCTTTGGTGTATAGGAGCATCCACCTGATCCTGAAAATCAAGCAGAAGTCACCAGGATTATTTGGCTCTCTCCTAGAAAAGGACACGTTTTATTTTAGCATTGGAGTAATACAAAGTTGTTAACCCTTGATAATATTATTGATTTTGCAATTAAAGTTTTTTTCATTCTAGTTTCTTGTACTCATTCCATACCTCCTGTACAAAAAAACAACCTGGTAACACTGGGAGGAAAAACTGCTCATGGCAACCCCTGAATAGTGAAGTCAGTGTTCTTTTCATCCACAGCATCCCTGTGGAGGGATATAAGGAGAGCAGTTATGTGTCCATCTGAACTTAGGGGTCAGCCTTAGAAAAAGATTAAGGGAGTGCTGTCACTCATTCAATTGGTATTGAGAGGAAGCTTGCTCTGGTTCTATACTGGATGGCCCCATAGCACAGTAGTGCTACTCTGGCTGAGGAGAAAGCTAATTCCTTACCAGGCTACAGAGGAATTGGGAAATCTGCTGTTGGGCAACTGCTTTAAAGATATGCTTGGCAAAAATATAGAGCACTTAAGGAAACTGTGAGAGTGTTGTCTCTGGAGTTGTTCTCTCTGCTGGTTATTGCTGCACCACACAACTTTTTTTGATCCTAGGATGACCTGTCTCCTGAAGTAGGTGATTCCAAAATGCAATTTCTTTCCATTTCTCTGTAGTGTAACAAAAATAAAAGAAATAAATGTGTAACACTTTTTGACAGCTGAGTGCAGAGTGAGCACCTGAAAGAATGTCAGTGGAAGTCAATATCACCCATAATAACACAATCACCTGTCATATTTCTTTGGGGCTGTGAAGTCCATGCAGCAGAATTTCCAAGAGCTGCAACTGGCAGGAATGGAGCTTTGGTCCTAAGCTGGAGAGTAAATATTATGAGTGGTTCTTTGAAACTTTATACGTGCAGAATTCCCTGTTTAAATCATTTTTCTTGGTTTCCTAAGTCCTAAAAAGGGGGTTACTTAAAATCCAAGTGTAATGTGGGTGGAATATGCATATAGGTGATCTCATGAAGTTGCTGTAGTGCTTGCTGATGATCAGATGTAACTATATGGAGGAGTTAAAAGGCTGACATTGCAACCACTGCCACAAGCATTGTGTTACAGATGATTTGGTTAAAATTTTGTAAGCAAAGGTATTACACTCTTTTTGATGTGGAGCAACAGAACAATGGAAACTGAATAGGGCAATGTTTGCTTTCTAAATCTGATGTGTGTTTGCTCTTTTTTGATATTATCTTTATGGAAGGTGAAGTACATGTATAGACATCTTGACAAAGAAAAAAAAGTTTCCTTCTGCAGGAATTTCAAGGTACTGTCACAGCTGAACTGTGCACGTGACAAACCAGAGAAATCCTCATGGCTGCTGATCATGGAGAGAAAGTTGTGCTCCACGGAAGTTAGGATTTCACGTCGTTATTCATGATTTTGATTTGAAGGGCAATAAATTCCTCCAGTTTCCATGTCAGTGGCAGTACAAGTAGTTTCAATGTCCCATAACATCCCGACAAAGGGACACACTGATAAAACAACTGTATCTAAGGGTGAGCAATCAGTGCATCTGCAGTCACTGTGCCTGGCAGCACCAGAACAAGAGGAACACAAGCCAAATGTTCTGTTAGAGGAGGAGGTGCAAAGAAAATTTACAGCCAGGGTTGTGTTCCCCTTAGTGGGACAGCAGTCCAGAGCACAGGACACAAACATGGGACCTGTCCTTTTCCATGCAGCAGCTTTGCTCTAAAGGTGGTCTAAAAATGCTGGAAGCTTTGTTTTCCAGTTGGAGAAAACAGAAGTTCTGATTTTACATTTTAATTTCTTGATTAGTTTGACAGTGCATTGAATTAATAGCTTTCAAGCCATGGGTATCACTTAAATAACTGCTCTCTGTGCCTAAGATGTCATAATAGCTATTTCATTACAGTTTAAGGTCAAGATTGCCACCTTAGGGTCACAGCACAGATATTTATTCACAGGTCTGCGTGTGATGCAAACTGTACTGTCAATGTCACAGAAAGGTGGATGCTCTGATCCATCTGCAGGATTGGCTGCCTGCTTACACTGAATATTCAGATTCCTTGCATAAAATGTTTTTGTTTGCTTGTAGCTTGTTTTTGTGCTCCTGGGCCTAAGCATATTACAGAGCAATTTCAGCATGGGGTTACCTTATATCTAACTGAAACGTCTTTTCCCCAGTGCCTAGGCTGCTGATTGTATCATGCATATCAAGCCAAATTCATTTTCCTTTGTCCCTTCTATCCTTTCCAAGAAGTCGATGAGGGCCCAGGTCAGCTACCAGAGGGCACAATAATTTTTGCCAGGCTCCTCATGGTGCCTCTGTGGCTACAAAAGAAGCTGCTGAAAGCTGGGTGTGGTTCCCAAGAGTGCGGAAAAATCTCCCGGCCCAGGGAGAGGGGAGGGACCTCTTCAGTACTAAAACCAGGGACCACAAGATGGTGCTGCAGGAAAACATTTTTCCTGCCAAGGTTTTGGGTTCTGGAGAACTTTATTGATTTCTGCCTTTTACAATGTGGTTCATCAAGTCACAAAAAGGCAGATGGTGTACAATAGAGCAATGGTCACTCAGTAAAAAAGACAACATAATACAGCATATGATGACAAGGCTTTAGAAGACTTACAAGATATACAAACCATTGCTTGTGGCTTTAGCTCTGCTCCCTTTCCTATTGAACTGATAGAGAGTGAAACAAAAGAGCTCTCAGTGGAACATCCTTCTTTATCTTCACAAAGATTAAATAAATACAAGGCTAAACAGCTTGGCCCGATGCTTGATAGCTGTGCCCAGGAGTGAATGCTGCTGCACCAGAGGTGGGAGCTGTGATAGGGCTTCAAGAGCAGGACAGCTCTTCCATCACATCACCTGCACCACATCTAATGGCAAAGGATTTGGTTTATGTTCTGTTCCCTCTGGAACCTGACCCACACCTTTAGCCACGCTCCCTGAGATGAAAACTCACCATGTCTTTTTGAAAGCTTTAAAGCAGTACGAAATGACTGCATTACATTGTGGGTGATTTTGGCAATATCTGCTACTTCTCTCTTCTGACCTTTAGAAAGCTTTCAAAGTCACAAGAATTGAACTTAAAAAATAAATACAGTGGAATGAGAGAGTAGGTTTGAACTGTAAAGCTCAAAAATCCAAGGCCAAATACAGAATTGTGTTTAAGCAAAATCTCTGTGACTGGGGAACTTGTATTTTTGAAGGCTTGAAGTTCAGTTCTGAGGCCTATTTTACCCAGCTGAGATCCATACAATGCCAGGTGGTGCACATAAAGGAGAAGAATGTACTTCATTACTCAACAAATATTTTTCCAGCTTATTTCCATGTAAGGGATGTAATTTTTAAATGTTATGGTTGCTATGATTTTGCTGACCTAGGCTTGGATGCACAGCTAAAATGAAGTGTAAAGGTTTCCCTGGAAAAGGTGTTTTATGTTCTCCTGTAAAGTCTCAGTGGAGCAACTGATTCTGTCTAACTCAATTTTGCTTCTGCTGTTTGTGCTCCAAAACTTTTTTGCTCTAACAAATCACTGGGAAAAAATGGTTTCTGCCAGATGAAAGGGGAAAACTGTCCACAGCTGTACTACTTTAACCTTCCAAGTTCCACTGTACTGCCTCCAAGTCCCTCCACAAAAGCCATGTTTCTTTCTGCACTGCTTCTCCACAAAGTTCACCATCCTGTGTGTATCTCCCATCCCAGTGGAGGAGTCTCTGAGCACGTGTGTGTGTTTTGTTCTGTGTCCAGGTAAGTGCAATGGAGCCTCACTCTGTTCTCTGTTTCTGCAGCATCAGCCACACCTCTGTGCTGGTGGCTTTGAGGGTTTGCCTGTGCCAGGTGACACCCAGGCAGTGTGGGAAGGGCAATGCAGTTCCACAGGGAGCTCCCTCCACAAGGGAGTGTGGCTACAGATGCTCTGGTCCTGCTGTACCCATCTCCCTGCTTTTCAACAGGGTCATTTTTCACTCTGTTAGGCTACAGCTGTTCAGTATTCCACCCAGTGTGGGTCATCAGCTGAGTCAAAATGAAAACATTAAAACAACTTTCCTTTAGAAAAGGAATCTTCTAATGCAGGTGCTGGGCCTGCCATTAGCAGGGTGCTCTTGCCCAGGCCCCTCTTCAGGGTTTTACTGAAAAAGCTAAACATTTTCATATTCAAGGTAATTGATCCAGCACTAACACACAAGATGTGTGTGGCAAATATGGGATGGAAAAACGAAGCCAACACAAAGGACAGGACCTGTGCTTAGGACTTAGGGAACAGCTGGGATATCCAGGGGATAATGCACAGGTATAAAATGCTCTTGCATACATTTCCTAATGGGAAAGCCCTGCTTCAGTTGAATGCCCCAGCTAGGCAGCAGCATTGCCAAAAAGCAATTTCTTCAGCTAACCATGGCCTTATGAACTGCAGTAGGTCATTGTGGTTGGCTGTGTGTTGTGTCTTTTCCCATAATTTTCAAGGAAAAGTTCACTCCCATTCCTAACATTGGGTGCATTGACAGCTGATATTTCAACTTTTATTTCCCAGATAGCAAAGTGATAGCTTTAAATAATGACAGAGCTCAGTCTAAAGGAAGGAGCAAGTATGGGCTCTATGAAAAACTGTCAGAAGCAAGGAAATTTGAGAGCCTGGGGAACAGCAGTAATTGGGGTGCTCTTTAGCCATTGTTCTGATGTCACAGTAGGTGGCCCAAGCTTTTGAATAGTGCATAAGCATGGCGTAATTACTGTTGTGGTGATCCTCATCCAGAACAGTCCTGGAATGCCAGAATATGAGTGTGTTTAAACCATGAAAAACCTGGGGTTGGGGCACATCAGGTAAAGATCAGGCTGTGCAAACTGGAAAGGAAGAGAAGGAAGTTCATGGGAAAAATGATCTTGTGAAAAATAATGTGGAACCCTTCACCAGAGTGCAACAGAATGTTACTCACATTTTCCTTTTGCAATTTATTTTAGTTATACATGAGCACACTAAAAGTCTGTCACAGCAACTGCTACAAGCTTTTATCATCTTTTATCCATAAGCTTAATTGGTTATTCATTTTGGTTTGAGTTTATTTGTAAGCGCAACTACAATTAATCATAACTCAGAACAGCTAGCTAGAAAACAAAAGGTTAACAGCAAATTCTGTTTTACTGGTTAAAGATGCTGCTATAGCAGCATTTGCTCAAATGGTTGTTTTACACATGCAGTGGCATCATCCAGTTTAAATCCTGCTGTGTTTCTTTGCCAACAACTGCTAGTGAACATTTGCCCACCTTCCCTGCTGCTGAGTAGTATCAGGATTAGATGCAGGGAGGCGAACAGGCTTACAACTTCATCTGTTGGCACCACAGGAATGCAGGAGCAGAACAGCATGGCAATAGGGAAAACTTTCAAAATCATCAATTTTAAGGTCTTGCCTCAAAATGACTATTTCCTGGCTGGGGGTGGAGGGGGGAGTGGGGGGTGTAAGGATAGTTTTCCCCAAATGTGCAAGGAATAAAAAAGGAAAAAGCAGCAAGAAGAAAATCTTTCTCAGATAAAGACAAGATGGGCATTTATTTATTATCCAACCTACCAGGCAGGTGAATGCCTCCAAAACTGTGTTGGGAAGTAGATTTTGACATGGGAGGACTGCCTGTCAAGAAAACACTGAAGTTATCCTGCTCTGTTGGGAATAAAAATTTAGGGGGCTTTAGTACATCTTGGACTTGTTGAAGATGATGGATAGCTTGCAGCAACAGGAATTTTCCTCCCCTCACCGAAGGATGCCACTTTTCCCTCAGTACTTAGCAAAAGTCTCTTTGAATGACATGATTACAGAGAATCACATTCTGAGCAGAGGCTGCTAGAGACAGCTGGGTTTTCT